TATGTTATGTCTCTGACGTACAACGTGACAAGCCTAATGCAACCAATGAACAAGGAATTATCTAGAATATAAAAATGAACTTGCTTCGATGTGTGAGCTTTGAAGTTACTGTTTATATTTCAGAAAAAAATTCATATTGTAAAGTATTTGCACAATATTTATTTTGTCTCACTTAAATTGCGACTTATAAGCATGTTCGTAGATAACGAGTTGATTGATGAACATTCTTTTCGTTTTGAAACATGTTCGACGTCCTTGGCTGATATCTTGGATTTCATTGCATGTTTGGGAAAGTTAATATTATTAAAGAGTAGGTGCAGATTTGGGTTGGATGTAGACAGTTCTGTTTTCGTCACACTCTCCCAAGATGACCACAAATGATTGGACATTCTTGGGAGAGGAGGAAGGGGAAGATAAAATTCAAAACGTCACACAGAGCAAGAAAGTTACGTGGAACGAAGTTGACGAAAAATTGCAGACTTTCAGATGATTTGCCAAAAATTGTTCATCTATGACAGTATACCACGTTATGAAGCTTCGTTTTGTAGACATCCAATTCTGAAAACTACAGCGACAATCTCGTAAGTAGGCAGACGATCGAAGTTATATTATACTAAGATGTTCATAATTTTCATGTTATAATAAACATGGCAATATTAAAGTGTTGCTTAATTTTATTTTTCTGAAATATATAATCCCATCTATGAGTTATAATTTTTAATAATCTGTGCGATTTTCGGCATTCCTTATTTAAATGTGGCTGATAGATAAAAAATACGACCGGCGGATTATCTATGCTGCTATTTCTACAAATAATACCACAAAATATACATAACAAATTTCCAGAAATATATATTTATTTATCCGTAAAAATCTCTTTAAAATTTTAAGATTTTCTATCTTTTCTATCTAGAGATTTAAAGATTTTCTATCCGTAAAAATCTTTAAATCTCTGCTGCCATTTAGGGATTCTACAACGGCATCAAGCATATGGGACGTTGTCACATGACATAATATTTGCATAAAACTTGATGCTTGTTTTCTTCTGCGACCCACAAAAACCTTAAATGGCCGTTTAATTTGTAATTACCGAATGTAAAATCATCTTTCGAACGGAATAAAGCGCTTGAACTTGTCTTTGCAGCGCTAGCAAGCATTTCATGGAGCGATTAGCAAAACAGGAACTTTTTTTATTGCTGTTGTAACATTCTCCATAACTTATAGCAGACGTTACTGCAAGACGCCGAAATGCTTGTATCGACTGCAGTCACGATGATTTTTTTTTTTTTTTTCCTGAATTCATGAATGTTATAGCAATAGTTTTTTTTCCCCTCCTTCCTTTCTTTCATTTTTCTTTTCATTTTAATGCAAATAAGGAAACATTTACCATCTTTAAAAGCTACAAGTTCTGTCAAGCCGCGCGCTGCTTTATTCAGAATTTCTTTCCACTTTTGCAGACTTTAATATGAAAAAGATTACCTAGCCTTTGAATTAAAAAAAAAATCTTAGTCAAAGTCTTTAAGCTTACAAAAATGTCTGATTTAAGATGAATATTTTTTTTGATTCTTAAGTAATATCCTAAAGCTTCCAAAACTACAAAGTTAAGAAAGGTGTGTCTGAAAATATATGGTAGATACATACCAATCGATAAGGTGTAGGATGAATATTCACCATTTTGATGGGCAAATAAAAAAATTTATACATTTGAGTTTAACTTCCTGTAAAATGCGAAATTCTTGGTTAACTTAATTTTAATACGAGTTCTCGTATGTTTTAAATCAATTTTGTTTTATTGACCAATTCTGCTGTCATGTGTACCATTTATTTAAATTTCATCGACTATTTTTATTTCTGTCAAAACAAATAAATCTGCCTTCTGTAACAGTTCTCACAGCAACAAATACCTGATAAAGCAACTATACATTCTCATTGCAAAAAGTGGAAAATGGTGTCAGGAAAATCATCTGTCAAGTTTCAGATATGTACACTGTAGGAGCTTTTAAATAAATCATGACTCATAAGCAAATCGTACCGAATAACTTATTTTACGTTTCACTGAAACAAGTGTAAAGTGTAAGGGGAAAGTGGAGTCAGGAAATTCATCAATCAAGTTTCGGATGTGCACACTGTAGGAGCTTTTAAAGAAATCATGAATCTTAAGCAAATCGCATCAAATAAGTTATTTTACTTTTCACTGTAACAAGTACATGAATAACTAATACTATTAAATCTCTGCTATATTTTCAGCTCTTTGACTTTCTTCTATTCGGAATTCAGTTATAGAGATCGGATAACCCGTACTAAAATTTCCGAAATGTGTTTATAGAGAGAAAGTTACATTATCTTGATAGAAACATTGTGAGAATAAGCTTTTATTTCTCGAAGTAGGAAAAATTTAGAATATTTTATATAATAGACAGCGATGTTTTAATCCTGAAATTCTTTAACGAATTCGTTGGGAGACAGTTTATTTTTAAATTCTTAATTATTGGTAAAACGCTGCATTAAAACAGTTGTGTTATTTAGATAACAGTTATTGAAACTATATATCATTTTTAGATAGATGATTTAAATGGTGCTAAACTTTTTATTTTTAACTTTATCATTAACTTCAACTAAATTTCTGCTTTTATATTAACGCATTTATATCATTAGATCATCAAGATGTATGTAGCTTATCAGATGAATGCTTTCGATTCTTGTCGATATGTAAAGCACTTACAGAAACGTACTGTAATTTATTAAGAAATAAAATTATAATTCATACGATTAAAAGATATCACATTTAAAAGATATTACAAATGAAACATAAAGGCGCTGCCCGTTAATGTTGGTTTTCTGAAAGTATCTGTTTTCCCATCAGATTGTTGCTTTCGTTCAATAAAAGAACAAAAACAAATAAGATAAAGCATTGCATATAGTCAAAATAAAACACATATTCAATGTTCTTTACATTTATTTAGATCTCAAAGTACAGAAATATATATGTTTATTTACATATATTAACAATACATTTAGTATAAATGGCTCATTTATTTATGATGCATGAGACCCTTTGGGGCACAAAAATTTGCCTGATATGTATGCATATAAGAAATAGTAATAACATAATAAATACTATTAATAGAAATGCTTTGAAATCATCTGTTTTTCTCTGCTTTAATGTTCTTGTAATTTTAAAAGTGTTAGGATTACTAATTCAAGTAATTAGTTTTCCTTTGCATGAAAGATAAGTTTGTATTTTCAAACGAACTGAATTTCAGAAAGCCATTTTAAGTTCATTGCGGGGTATTCATGTTCACACTGGATTCATTAATATATTAATACTTGATTTCCTGAATAATTATATATACAAGGTGTCCACTAAAATCCGGTACCACTCGTTTAAGGCCCGAACTGCTGCAACTGTAGTAATAAAAGTGGTGTCTAGATACAGTTAAAGTGGTTATGCGCTACTAGATAAGACCGCTTACAGCGCTGCCTGATAAAAAAGGGCGGAAAAGGTTAGCATTCCTATCACGAAACGGTACGAGATAGGATGAACGCAATTTATAAAAGTGTAAATAATCATCGATTTAGTATGAAAAGACACTCGTGGGCATGAATGCTAAAAATAGAACGCTGAAAATTCACATTTGTTTCTTCGCGATTTTCGAAATTGGGGGGCCACGAAACTTGAACGAAAAGAGAAAAGATTACCTTTCGAACGAAAAACGAGCCCGCATTGTGACATAGTGGTATGGCTTGTAATTCATAATCAAGAGGACTGTCGTTCAACCCCCGTGGAATGCATCCTTGTACTGATTGTCTTTACAAACAGAGCAGACAATATGCAGATCGTGCACAATCGGGCCAGCCATAAAACGTATCAACTAAACGCAACTCGAGATTTGTGTGTGAAATTTTCGCATTATACAACAGTATATGAAAAGTCATACCTGTTCACCTGAGGCAGCTGTAAAAGACACGCCTCCTCGAAGCTGTATATTGAAGCTCGTCGACATGGAGCGATTTTCAGAAGATGATGATTATGAGATAGTTTTACTTTATGTGAATGTGGCACGATCGGCAGCCCGATTGTATTGGCAATTTTTTTTCCAGCAGGCCCTCATTCTTCACACAAAGTCATCCTAAAGTTGTGAAACGTTTAAAAGAGGCAGGCTGCATGAATAGCCGATTTCAATCCGACAGACTAGATAAGGTAAGGAATAAAGTACAGCCTGAAGATATATTATTATACGCCCTCACATATCCGAACAGAAGCACAAGAAAGATAAGTGAAAACTGTTGCCTCTCAAAAAGTCGCGTTTGGAAAATAGTAAACGAACTACGTGCTCACCCATACCGGCCAACATCTAATCAGGCATTACTGGACGGGGCTGCTGAAAGAAGTTTCGCACGGTGCAACTTCGTCATGAGTCTGACAGATGTCCAGTCAACATTCTTGGCAGGTGTAATGTGGACTGATAAGGCATGCTTTTCGCGGAATGAAATATACAATAGGTAGAACACCCACTGCTGTGCACTGGAAAATCCAATATGTTCTGCCGACGCTCGACATCAAATGCCGTTTTCGATTAATGCAGAATTTACAATAACAGGCTAATCGGCCCAGTATTTTAGCAGTGTATGTTAATTCATTTTATGCACATATATTTCATGAGACTGTCGATAAAAATATGAGACAACATCTATAATACTCTTACTAGCAAAAATATAAATATTGATAAAGTTGGACAAGACATAGCAGACAAATAATGCATTATTAAAAATATATCTTTAGTAGTTCTTAAATACATTTTTCAAAAAACATTATCTCCGTTAATAGTTTTTTTTTTTTCCAATAAAATAAATTAAAGGCAACCCAAGGCTCTTTACTTTGACTAAAAGTGGCATTCACGCCTTTAACTAAGGAAAGAGAATTTTAATATCTCTGCCTTGTAGTATGACGTAGCTCTTATTGTATATCGTGTAACCATTGCTTTCTAAGCGGTTCACAGTCTTTATTTAATCTATCACGAAGTAGTAGGTTTCTCTGCATTAAAACCATGGAATGCAATCACTTATGAAATAAGGGAGTCCTGGAAAAGCAGGCATTCTCACGACATTTGTCCTCTGATGTGTTTTCACGTGCTTCTTCAGATGATCTTTTCTTCCAAATCGCTTTCCACACAATAGGCAAGAATGGGGCCTCACACCTGTATGTATACGCTTATGACGAGTCAGCTCTTCATTTCGAGTAAAAGTTTTGCCACAGCTAGGATGATCACATGCAAATGGTCGTTCACCTAAATTGAAAAGAAAGGAGAAAATATATGTAGTTTTATCAAACATTTTCTTCCAATGGATAAAAAAGTAAAAGAATTTATGATACTTTACGCAAATTTCGAATGTAGTAAAAACAACGAGGAGTTACATGGATTGGATACTATAGCCATGCACTGTTAATTACTTCGTAAAAAACTTACTGTTTATTCATTTAAATTTTAAACTTTGAATGAACTAACAAAAGTTCAGTAATGTACAATACGGAAACGGTCAACATCAAGAGAATTATCTTTATTGAATTTGCTAATTATCTACATGACGGGCATACACATTTCACTTGGATCAAAGTATCAGTAATGAGATTACAAATGAACTATAATTAATAACCTAGATAAAACAGGATGAGAGGTCTTCAGAAAGTTATCAATGTAAAAGAAAACCAGTTTAAAAAATTGTTTTTATAAAAATACAATACTGCATGCCAGGAACTTTTTCAGCTTTTTTTTTTTTTTTTTCTTTTTTTAAGTTCCAAAATGCATTTTTTCGAAGCAGATATACTTTAGCGATTTTTAAATTGCATTTTGTAGCTGGTAATAAGAAGGAATTTTTATCTCACGTGCCAGTTCAGGCTGAAAAGAACTGTTGCATATGGATTATTTTCTCTCGTGTAACCTAAGTACCAGTTATATGCTTCCCTCCATAATATAGGTTTCTTCTGTTCAAGTATTCACCTTGCAATAATTATATCTCATGATAAATATCTGAGACTTTATTCTTGAAAGCTGTTATTTCAAGCTACATACGTATTTGTCCTTTAACTTATTTAAAAATATTTTAAGGAGCATCTTTGTAAACGTTCCCTAAGAAAAGTAATTTTTATTATGTTTCTGATCGCAAGGTTACTTCTATCTAAGGTATGATATCTAAAATTAAAAATAATGTACCCCTATGGAAAGCCTGCAAGGACAGTAGTAAAAGTAATAATAATAAGTAATTGAACTTAAATATTAATAAATTAATGATAAACAGATAAATAATAAAATCTTAAAAATTAAAGGAAAGGTTAAAGATAAATAACGATAATAACAATAATATGCTGAAAAACTAAGAATTGCAAAACAAAGTACCCCAAAGCTTTAAAAAAATGCATATTTTGAACAATATTTTTCGTAGTGAGATAAAAAATTGCTTCTTTGTCTTAACTTTTAAAACTTTTACAGTTATCTTAACCATATGGATACAGCCCATAAATATTTCTCTTTCTGAACGAGTTGCATTTTGATATGGAAAATTACTTCATCGGCGTCTCAGAGTTTCTAGTTTATTTTGCTCCTCTTAGGAAAAGGAAGGAATGCATTAGCAACTAGCATAAATATCACTCTCAGTAAGTTCTAAAACGAAACATTAATTTTTTACTGGTATTGCGATTAATTTCCATAACAAGGAGCCGGAATTCATTTGATTTGAGTTTTTGGTTGGAATTATGATTTCTCTCAGGAATTCAGATGTACGGAGCCGAACTCCTGGTCGAATTTAAGCAATACGTTCTACTTCATGCTAAGGTAACAAAAGTGGCATAAAATGAGCTTGCCTCAAATATCATTTTAAACTTCAACTGATATATTCTTTTTTTATGAATTTAGATTTCAACTGAGTATTTTGAAGTAAAGTAGTATTACTAAAAGGCTGACTTCAATATTTTATTAAGGTTGTACTATTAGAACTATAATGTGAGTATTCATTTAATATAAATATAAATTAACAGTCATAAATCTTTTTGAAAACTATTCCTCAAAAAGATTTATAAAATTATTCCCTGATAGGTTACTGCTGTTTATTTACCTAGTTAAGTGATAAAAGTAATCTCATCAAAATCAGTATGAATTTCCTTAAAATTTATAGCTTATTAAATATTTATCATGACCTTACTTTATATTTTAAAATTTTAAGCAACAGGATTCAGAGTAATATTTATAAATGAATTCTGTTACTTAAAGTCCTCCAATAATCTTTATTCGGAGTGTTATTTAAAATCATTCGAAGTGTAAGTTAAGTTGTGCAACTGTGATTAACAGGCGAACTTGCCTGATTAACTCATAGGAACATCGATATGTCTTTATTTCGATAATGTACAGACTCCCGTTTTCGTTTTAAAATTTTTACTCACGTCATTTTAATGGCTAGTTTAATAGAAATATTTTGCTGACAGAAGTCGTTTTCAGAGTTATTTAATTGTAATTATCGATTTTTTGATATTCCATCATCTTTGCAAATTCATTTTGTAACTCAATTAAGAATGGAAAATGGGAAATTGGAGCCTTTGCTTTGATTCGGGAGTGAATAAATATTTCGCCTTAATTTTTCTTTTCCTGCTTTTTCAAGAATACTTTCCATTATTTTAGTAAGAAGACGCTAAAGCCAGTTGAAAAAATTTCCTGTAGTGAACTTTAAAGCGAAATTTTTTTTCGATTAAAAAAAAAAAAAAAAAAAAAAAAAAAAAAAAAAAAGAGAGAGAGAGAGAGCCTGATTAATCCCAACATCAAAACAGCAATAAGCAGACAGAGAAATTTTTTAATGCGAAAAATTATATTATGAATTCTTTATTTCATTCATAACGTTTAATTAATGACAATTATATTACCCCAAGAAATAATAGTTATGAGAGTTTCTGAAAAGTATGCTTAAAAATAACATATTTCGATAGCCTGATAATATTCAATAAAGAGATTCATTATTAAACTTCATAAATGTTTGACTAAGAAATGTGTTTCGACTTATCAGAGTTCTAGAAATGAGATTTTTAGCTCAACAAGTATGCTAGCTGCTTCCATTGACATTTGCGTTCGTTTTAAATAGCATATCAAAAATTCATATTTGAAGCACTTATCCATCCCTTAATCCGAAATTTCGGAAAAAGTAGATTTCTTAAAAATGTTGACTCAGTATTTATTTTTGTTTTAAATCTCAAAATAAGACTTTTTAATACATGAAAAATTCAGAGTTCTATGAATTTTTCGTATTGAATTTTAAATCATTTCCCTTTTAAAAACATTATTTGCTTTCTCCACAAAAGGGGCTGTAATAAAATTAAATGAAGAAATTTTGTAGATCCTTGTTGTACTATTCCTTAAGAATTTGATCAAAGCTAATTTAAAAACTCTGATATGGTCAACCCATGACATCCCTCCAATTCCATGTTTCAATAACAACAAGCTTAAGTAAAGTTCATCTAATTCATCGTTGGGGAACAAAATCTAACTTCTTCCAATAAATATAAAGATTTAAGCCTTTATATTTATTAGAACAATTGTAATACGAAATTTTGGATTATATTTTATTAAGTATAATTGACCATGTACGATAACTGCTTTTTTTTTCTAAACTTATCATAACTTAATCAAATGTTTGCCTTCTAATTTCTTCTATTTTCTTCTAAAATCTAATTCTTTGTAACTTGAGTCTCTTCCCTTTGTTTCTTCTACTTCAAATCAGGCCTCAAATCATTCAAAATAGTTTGAGAAGATGATTGTGCAGCCTAATTCAGCAAAATCGTAGACTAAATGTCAGTTCGTATTTTCATCGCTCTGATTGTTTGTTTCTTGTATTAGGCTGGCATAAAATTTCACAGTTAGAAGGGAAACGTCTGGCGTGACAATCGTCGGTAGTTTGCTAGGGTCTGACTTTATTAGTGTAAACAATCACCACAGGAATGAATTCGTTTTAAAATTAAACTGTCGCTAAAAAATTTGAGGAAAAACTAGGAAATGTGGTAATTGAATTCCTTTTTAATTAAGTGTTTATAATACATTTAAAATAAATATTTTGAAACAAATATCATAATTTAATTTTCATTAATCTAATTTCTATAATATCAACTAATCTAAACTCATTTGATTTGCGCGTATATCCCCGCGATATTTAGAAATTAGCTAACAAGGCTAGTTAGTTTTTGGAATTATAGCTGAATAGTGATGATTACGTTTGCATAAATTTAGTCTCTACATATAATAAAAGAAAGAGTCCGTCTGTGAGTGTGTGTGTCTTTCGTTCCCGCTGCGCGTAAGCTAATAGACCCACGGCTACGAAATTTAGTACATAGCTGCATCTAGACAAGAGCCAGTGCACCTCCAAGCGATGTTTTTGAAATTCGAATTCGAATTTTTTTTATGTTTTGTGACGAAATCGCGTCATTTTGAGACATAATAGGACATAGGAAAGCGAGATTTTACTCTACACACTCCATTTTCACATCGTCATGAAACATAGGCATTTAGCTATTTTACGAACTTAAAATAAATTTCGTGTTTCCATAAATCGATTCAACACGAATTTATTTAAAAGGGAGCTTAACATCTTTTCAACGGGATTTTTTCTAAAAACGTTTATTTTTAAAAATGTACAGTTTATTTTTCTTTGATTTTTGGACACGTTAAACTTTCATCCTTGCGACTGCTTTTACAAAAAGAATTTTGGAAAAATGATAATATTTTGTATTTAAAAAAAATTTTTAAATGAAGCTTCCGAGTACACTTCTTACATCTCACATCTTTAAAAACGTGATTTTGGCAACAATTTTCATGCCTTATTGTTGTTGATAGATTTTTGATGAAATCGCATCATTTTGAATAGTTTCATTCTTTTAGAATACTTTTTTTAGAATTTTTATACTTTGCTTTTCAGAATGTTTTGTTTTTGTATTCTTTTATGTTATTTATTGCTTATTTCACTGTTTTGAAGATATTGAAAAGTTTTGAGGGATTTTTTTTAGGAAACAAAGTTCTTAACCTCCTTTATACCATTTGAGTTCTTAAGATTTTGCAAAGGGAAGTTGGTTAATTTATTTATTAGGATAATTAATATTTGTAAGGGATATTGATTATTTCATTGTAATTTTGTTATACGTAATAACTTTTTTTTATGAGGTTGTTCTGCAGAGTAAACTTCTACGCAGTTTTTAAATTTAACGGTTGGTGTTTCCTTCAGTCTTTTTTCCGGTACGTTTAAAAGCCAGACGAAGGCT